TGTAGGACAGGAAATCATTCCACTGCCTTGTCACCTAAAGAAAGGAACCCATGAAAATGGGGACCAAGCCATCCATGATGCTCTGCTCAATCTTTTTTTTTTTTTTTTTTGCTGTTCTGCATTTGCTGCCAGGTAGGAGCAATTTGCAAAAGCAACCATAGTCCTATTGTTACCACCTCTGACCACTTCCTCTCATTCTTCATCCAGAAGATAGTAGTTTAGACATCATCCCGAGATATCTTCCCTTGTGGCTCAGCTGGTAAAGAATCCGCCTGCAATGTGGGAGACTTGGGTTCGATCCCTGGGTTGGGAAGATCCCTTTGAGAAGAGAAAGGCTACCCACTCCAGTATTCTGACCTGGAGAATTCCATGGAATGGATAGTCCATGGGGTCGCACAGAGTTGGACACGACTGAGTGACTTTTCACTTCACCAAGATATCTGACATCACTTTGTTCAACCAAAACTGATTACCCTTGTTTTAGATTTTTCTGTGTTTCTTTGGAGAAGGGGCTGTTTGCTGTCATGATTTTACTAGCAAGAATGAGATTGAACCTAGTATTTTTGAAAGAGGTGACTTCAGAGCTATTCCAAACCAGCAGAAAAGACAGGGGAGTTAAATCCAACTTGTCCAAAGGAGAAAGCAAAGAGGAGGGAATGAGTTGGAGGCTGTTTTGCAGATCAAGGGTTCTCTGTTGCCTGCTCTTCTCTGAGTTACTCTTTTCCATATTGTCTTTAAAATGAAAACTCCCTTTTGTCCCTCATTTCTGCAGCTATATCAACCTCTCCATCCTGATAACTTAGGAGAAACCAGGAATCTGTATTCTCAAATTGCTCCCCAACCTTCACGTAGTTCTCTCCACACTTGTTAACTCTCCAAAAACATATTTTTAAACTGGTTTTGCTAATTCTTGCATTCTCCCCAAGCCTGCTTTCAAGAAAGCTCAGGCTGGGGTTGAGGTTGGGGCGAGGCACGTACAAGAGTTTCTGGCTCCATCTCTCATTTCCTGAGCTGTGAGCTGGGCTGCACTAATTGACCTCGAGGGTCTCAGCTGCGCTAAGTTGGGTGTTTGTTAGATCTCGTTAGGATTGTAATTAGTGCAGAGAATCTGGGTCACAGGCAACTGGTTGGATTGATGATCTCAGGGGGCATGAATAAAGGCGGGGAATAGCAAACAGGTTCCTCGTTTCGTGGGTGGGATGGGATGGGCTGGGGCAGGGAATGGCGGGACTTTGTGTCATACAGACAGACAGACACAGGGTCGCGTGCAGAGAGGCGCTCAGGCTCTTAGGGGTGCACGCCTGTGTGTGAGTGTCTATGTGTGTGTGTGGTGTGTTCCCTCCCGCATTTACTCGGGTTTCTTTCCAATCTTTCCATATATGGTGTGGCTCTAGAGCAGGCTGGGGATTGGCTGCTGTTGTTGGGAGACTGGGAGGTAGGAAGAAAGCAGAAAAAGGAACGAACCCAGCAATGGGAGGGAGTATGAAGGGAAGGGGGCTGTAGCCGAGCTTCTTCAAGGGTTGCAGAACGGGCTGGGTCCCCTTGCCCATAAGGTTTAAAGAGGGGAGAAATTCCCTGGGGACTGTTGTTTTGCCGGGAATGAGGTACAGTTTACTGTTGCAGAGGGGCTGGCAGAGGGCAGCTATTTCCCTAGGGTCAGCATGGCATGGCTTGTGAAGGCTGGAACCGGAGTAGAGAAATTTGCTGTCCCCCCCCCCCCCTTTTCTTTTTGCCCTAAACAACCTACAGCTCTGCTGTAGAAATAGCATGCAAATTAATTCATCAGCTTTCCAGGTCAACACCTCAGATAGTCTTCCTAATGGAGGCAGATCAGGACTGTAGTTCTGTCCCCCAAACCTCTACTTAACAATTTAATGGGAGAATAGGAAAAGTTGAGGAAAACGTCACCGAAATAGGAAACGAGATTTAGTTCTTTACCTGCCTCTGTCCCTCACCCCATTTCAACTCTGTCCTGGATCTCCTCATCTCCTCACCTGGGGCCTCCCAAAAGATTCTCCCTTTTCCAGTTCATTTGTGGAAGAAAAGAACATAACAAAGATGTTGGAAGAGAGGGAAGGAGGAAGAAAAACACACATCCTGAAAAATGTCAGCAACTATGTTGTAAGCAGGTTGCCCCACACCCCCTACTCAATCCACTCATTTACCCCAAAACACGTGACTGGGAAGAAGGGAAATATTTCAGGTAAAGAAACTGGAGTGATGGAGTGAGGGAAAGGGGTCTGGAAGGAGGGGAAAGCTAGAGTTCTAGCATTATTATCCTTCAGCCACGTGCTCCTGCTTTGTTAACTGACATCACAGGAGCAGCCCATCAACAGGGTATACTCTAAGATGTTTTTCTAGTGGGAAGCCTGGCTTTGTGCTAAGCTCTGAAATTTTTGAAGACAGGAGCTCAAGCTCTCCTCACCCCACCTTTCTATCTGTAGCCTTTAGCACAGTACCTGGTATTCTCTCCTTGAAGAAAGGCTTATGGGCACTGGATCAGCTCGTGTACCAGGATCCAGTGACAGTAAGCTCATCCTCTAAGCCTCATTTAGACTGTACTCCCACCAGCTGAGCTACGGTTATCAAGCCACTGAGTCAAACTAATCATAGCAGCAGCTGCCGCAGCTGCTACTTACCAATCAGCAGGCATTTGCCATACATCTTTACGCTTCCATTTTGCAGATGAGAAAACTGACACTTGGAAAGCTTGTGCCTTGCCCAGGGCCTCATAACTAAAAAGTCAGAATTTGAACCCAGAGCTGTCTGGTTCCAAAGCTGGCCTCATTTTACTAACTTGTGGCCTGGTTTTGGTGCCTGAAGAGCCCAGGAGTCCAGTGCCCAGTTAAGTTTCCTGGGGGCCCTGGTCTTTCTTTTATGCTCCCGCTCACCTATCCTCCTCCTCTGCAGTGTCTCCCTCCATCCTCAAGCTCCTTTGGGAGACAAAAGATAATTGGCATGTTGGGATATATATGTCACTCTTGCTTTTGTCTTTTTCTTCATTATGTGGGAGCAACAAAGATTAAAAAAAGGGAAAATGCTGGTAAAATAAACTTATAGGAAGATGCAGACTTATATAAAGGAAGTAAATACTTTTTTTTTTTTTTAGTAAGTATCATTTTAACCTAGACTATTTGTGACAACGGGTTTCTCTGCTGACCGTTCTTGGAGTTTAGGTGAGTGAAGCTTGTTTGGAGGACAGAAGTCTGGAGACCCAGGTTTCCTCCCCTCCTACCCCAGGAGACTCTGGGAGCAACATGTAGGTGGCACCCTGGTGTTCTCTCCTCACTCAAAGATACATGTAATTATGTAACGACAGGATAGATCAAGGAAAAATCTTCATGACTGTGAGTGGTGGGGACCAAAAATGTGAGAATCTCCTACAGATGTTCAACTTAGATTCCACCATCTTGCTTATGTTGGGTTATGGAGTAAAGTCATGAGCACAAGAACTGCAATTGAGGGTCTTGCCCAAAGGAGTTTGTTTCCCTTCTACCCATCCTCCTGAGTGTCACATGAGGGCAGCCTTGTGGCCAAGATGTCTAGTTTGTTCCCATTTTCTCCCCTTCCTCCCTCTCACCCTTAGGGGAGCTCTAGGTTTTGGCTTCTGGAGGTTAGAGGAAATCTAGGGAAGAGGATAAAGAAGCTAACAAGCGGTCTGCAGTTGACCCTTGAACAACCCAAGTTTGAACTGCACAGGTCCACTTACATGCAGATATTTTTCAATAAATACTACAGCACAGCCTGTAGTTGCTTTAATCCTCAGATGCAGAGGAACCACGGGCATGGCTACTAAGTTACAGGTGGATTAACCCTTGTATTTTTCAAGCGTCAACTGTACTTCCAAGGGTTTTTTGACCTTTCATTTGATTCAAGGGGCTGTTTCCTTCTTTCCAAAAATCATTCATATTTTGCCTTTATGACTCATCTCTTGACACTCTGTTATTAACTTGATCTTAGAAACTTCAGAGGAAAGAAGCAATCAAAAAGGCTCCCCACAGCCAAGGATGCAGGGGAGCCTGGCGACCCCAAAGGTGGTCGGGAGGATGGTGGTGTAAGTGTAAAGATGTTTTTCTAAAGCTGGGGCTTGATTAGTATTGGAAGTGAGGTTTGAGGAAGGAGAGGGAGAGGCTACAGGAAACCCGAGCTTGGCCGAAAGAGGAACCCGGGCACATATTTGGTTTTCCCCTTCATCCTATGCATCACAAGTCAGTTTCTTTTTTAGTTTGGTTTTCTGTCGGGTTGACTATCCCTGGTTCTCCTGTGCTAGGCGCCTCCAGCCAAATCCAAACCCGTCCCCTCCGTCCAGGGTTGTTTCTCTGAATCGGGAAGGGTGTGAGAGATGAAGGGAAGAAACACCTCATATTAAGAAAGCTGGGCAGCTTGATCTCAGTCAGACACTGCTAGGCATGAGAAGCGAGTGCCTGGTGGGGGGCAGGGTCAGGGAGGATTTTAATTGCACAGATCTTCCTTGGGGCTGGGATAAACTTCACTTCTGTGTGCATGGACAGGTGGCACTGGCTCTCACATCTCTAGAGTTGAGCAGCTGAAATTCCACCCTCAGATTGAAACTTGGAATGGAACGTAAGAGAAGCCCCCTCCCCTCCCCCTCTAAACTTAGGAGCCCAAACACATGGTTGGGAGCAGCAGGTTATTCCTCACGCCTCAGAGGGTGTGTGTGGGTCAAATGGTCAAACTGAGCCTTCATGACCCTCTCTTCATCCAGGTGAAAGCTTCTTAACATTGCTGTAGGGGGGGTCACCTGCTCCTCACACCTGAGGCAGTTTAGGGCTCAGAGATAAGATGGGGTGGGGGGGGGCAGAGGAAGGAAAGGAGGTTGGGAAATAAGGACTGTAGGAGGGTCAGGCAGCAGCAAGAGCAACGAATTCGATTGTGTTTTTGTTTTCTTTTTTGACTGAGGTAAATAAAAAAGCTTTTATCCTGCAACACTTGGAGATAAGAATCTGTCCACCCCGAGTTCCAGACTCCAGCACTGGCCTTCACATCAGGCTCTTCCGGTACTGACTGTGCTGGGTGGTCTGTCTGAGGTGGGAGTCGGGCGTCTGCAGGTCCATCTGTCTGTACAGGTCCCTCAGCTCCCTGACCTCCTGCAGCACCCTCTTCGCCTGGCTCCAATTGGATGATGCCTCTCCCAGCAGCCGCTCCGTCTCCAGCAGCAGCTGCTCCGACTCAGAATCGGGAGGAGACCGAGGGGGGTCCTTGGCCTTTCGCTTCCCGTCTCCCAGTCCCTGAACCTCTGCCAGCAGCTCCTGAGTCTTCTCCAGTTTCCTGGCTACCAGGTCCTGGATCCGGGACAGCTGCCCCGGGTGGGGTGGGATGGGGGTTGGGGGGTCCTCGGCCCGTCGTTGGAGGGTGTGGGCTGGTGCAGTGTCCCGCTGAGACAAGATCGCCTCCAGGGAGGCACAACGGCTTTTTTCTGTGGTGGTCAACTTCTTGGGTGCCTGTGGGGTGTAGGTGGCCCCTTTGTCTGGCTTTTCCCAGAGTCGCGGAAGGCCACCTGCCCGGTCCGAGGAGGGCTGGACACGATCCGAGTCTGCTCTCCGCCGGCTGCCTGCGAGCTGGGCCACAGACTTATCCAGGTCGACCCGGAAGCTCTCAGCACAGGAGGTTGGCTCCTCAGGGGAAGGGTCTTCCTCCTGGATCAGGTCCAAGGTCAGCATCCCATCCGAGGTAGAGGTTGAAGCCTGGAGGGAGAGGGCGGGAAGGAAGGGGGTAGACTGTCATCCATGGGCATTTAAGGACTGCCTGCCTGAAAGGGAAACAAGCTGTGGTCATTTCCCTCCTCAACGTGCCTTCCCTGAACGAGAAGCCCCCACTCCTGACAGAGCCCTCTGACTTTGCGCTTTCTTATTCCTTTGATGGTGATTTAAACTTAATTCTTTCATATTTCTGTGATTTAAAGTAATTTCTCTTGTTTCCCATATTTTCCACTCTCCCACGAGCTTCCTGAACAGTGTCTCTTCCTTCCGTGTTGTGGACTCTCAGCATCAACTGGGTCTGACACACACAGGATGCCTGGCATGGCGGGGTGACTGTTCCTTTCTGCTGTATCCTGAGCCACACACCTCAACCCCCTCTGCAATTTGGACCTCAGAACCCCTTGCCTTTGAATAAAACTTGTTCTATTTCCAGGATACTGTAATTTTTTACAGGGTAAAATACTGCAATTTTTCAAAAGATAAAAAATACATAAAAAAATTATTCAACACCTCACATGTAACATACATATGTTATCTCAATCATTCCTCACAGCAGCCCTTCACATGGGCACGATTACGGCCCCACTTTACAGCTGGAGGTGGGCAGCTTCAGCAAAGCTGATTCCAACCCAGTTTTGTCTGATTTCAAAGCCCACACTCTTTCTACTATACCTGAGGGCCTCATTCCCTAGAGACTTTGAGCTCGGACAAGTGAAAGAAAATCCTTGCTCCTCTAAATGCCTGCAATACGTAATGCTCTTACCTGTCAGGATAGCTAGCCACAAGACAGCAGCTTATATTGCCTAATAGTATTCATCTCTTCTATTTCTCACTTTCCTTGTGAGTGTATCTCATTTTCCTCAAAGGATGCTAAATCTATTAAGGCATCTGTGTGTGCTAAGTCACTTCAGTCATGTCTTGACTCTCAGCGACCCCATGGACTATAGCCCTCCAAGCTCCTCTGTCCATGGGATTCTCCAGGCAAGAATACTGGAGTGGGTTGCCATACCCTCCTCCAGGGGATCTTCCAGACCCAGGATCGAACTGGCATCTCCTGCATTGGCAGGCGGGCTCCTTACCACTAGGACCAACTGGAAGCCCCTACTGAGGGCACATCTTTCAAATTCACAGTAGGATAAGTATTTTTGGTTTGGAAGAATCGAGAAAGGGAACAGGGTGAAGGGACTTTCCTAGCTTTTGACCTTGGTACACAAATGCCTCTGGTGGGCTAAGATACAGTCCCATCTGAGATGAACTGACATGGAGTTAGCCCTTCAGCAATTTTTACTTTCTTATAGCCTTACATACCACAGCCATTAGGTGTCCCCGAGTCGGAGGGCGGCGGGAGTGCTGGATTTTTGCCCTGTCTCTAGTAGGGTGGGCGAGATAGCTGTCCTCCTCAACGGTGACCTGAAGAGACGCGCTGTGAGTCATGGGTGCTATTCAGAGACTCCTTGTCCCAGACCAGCTTCCCCTGAGGCCTGAACATGCCTGGACTGGGAAATAACCCCCAGCTCAGGAACTGCTCCTGAGCAAATCTAAGGGCAAGGGATTTATGGGACATGAAGGGGCTTCGCAGGCTGGCCCATGCATCAGAAAGCAGGGAAACAGGAGCTGGCAGAAAAGACTTAAGAGAGAAGCCAAGAGGTGAACAGGGCTTTCAAAAGGGAGATGAAGCAGTAGAGCTGGCGGGGAGCTAGTAAATGGGGCCTGCACCATCCTCTTCCGTCTTTAAGAGTCACCCTGCTCCCTGTGCCTCAGTGTCCACCTCCCCACAATTAGCCCCCCTAACCTCATCCAAGACGCGGTTCTTGGCTCGGGTGATGGCGGAGTTGAGGGCATTGATCCACGATTCCTTCTCTTCCGGACTCACTGCCAGGAAGATCAGGTTAGGTGCCTGTGAGAAGATTTGTGTTTCAGTCAGGGTTTTTATAGAGCTGGCCTCACCTTGACAGTGAAGAAATGAGAAGTTAAACTTCACTCTCTCAGACCCAGCTCTTGGAAGGAGAGAGATTCTACTTCCGGAGTTACCTGTAACTTAAGGAAATCAGCCTCTACTCCTGCAAGATGCTCTTGCTTGGAGGCTGTTTTAGAAATGACCGAGGAGGAGCTCTGAAGGGAACTGGATATTAATACAGCACTAGAGATAATTAGAAGAGGTTTGGTGAAGGACAGGTACTAAAATAAAGATCTTTAAATGTTTGAAGAAATAGAATGTGACAGGAATGGCTTCCCTGGGTTCCCTCAGACAAGAGGAATTAGATTCAGAATTTCAACCACCTATCATGGAACAGGGAAAAGGGACTGCTTGCCAAGAGGGGTGTGTGTGTGTGTGTGTGTGTGTGTGTCTCTGTGTGTGTGTGTGTGTGTGTGTGTCTGTGTGTGTGTGTGTGTGTGTGTGTGTGTGTGTGTGTGTGTGTCTGTGTGTGTGTGTGTGTGTGTGTGTGTGTGTATCTGACAGCGAGAGACTGAGGGGGAGAGAGAGAGGTGATTTTTGTGGCTGGACAGTTTAAAGGCCGGCTTGCCTGAAAGGAAGGAAATGGCCACCATATTCTCAGATGGAATAATAAAAGCTGGTAGGAGAGCAGTCTCTGAGTCAAATTGCCGAGAGAGATCCCAAAGGGGGCGGTGTCCTCCTCTGGCCTCCACACCCCTGCCCGGGCCCGTGTCCCAGGGCCGAGGTGGCAGGAGGAGCATACCGTGTTCCCGGGCTGTTTGGAGTGGGCAAGAGTGAACTTGCTGTGATTCTTCTTGCTCCTGCTCTTGGATTTCCGGAGCTCTTCACACTTCTCGTAGTCACTCAGGTCAAACACCTCTTGAATGTTTTTCTCATCTTTCACCTAGGGGAGGGTTGGAGGTGAGGGGATGAGGGTTAAAATTACTTAGGCCCTTCTCCCAAACTGTTAGCTTAGACCCGTCTTGGGAACCAGAAGAAGCCTGAGAAGGGAGGGATGACAGGATAGGAAAAGGCTGTCCTGCCCAAGGCTCACAGAGGCCTGACAGGGGGGACCCCAAGTCCTGATTCCTCGCATGGGTTTCCATTTAAACTCCTCATCCCAACTCCCCTCAGCCAAGCTACTCTTCCCAGAACCCCAGTAGGTCTCTCCATTACGATTCCTACTTTGTCCTTCAAAGGACTCCGTTATAGGGCTCATGCGTTGATCCTACCATTCTGAAGGAAGCAAGACCTGGATGGCCCTTGACTGTCCAGAGAAGGTCAAGGCAGAGCCAACACTGGGGGATGTCTGGAGAGAATGGAGGGCCGCCTCCAGCCTCCCCTTTCTTATGTGTATGTTGATGCTTTCTTACCCTCATTTAGCTCCTTCCTTAAATATATTCTATTATGATGAGATTCATCTATCTCCTTCATTTCAGGAGCTTTAGCACCACAGGGACAGCCACCCCTGTGTTAGGTTTGTTCAGATAGGGTGAAAAATACACCTGTAGTTTCTACCTCACCTTATTCCTTCCAAGGTACCACAACAACCCAATGTAGCTCCTGCAGGCTTGAGAAGCCACTAAAGTCACCCACTTAGCTCTAGGCAAAGATACGTTTATACTCTCCCCGGAGGACTACTTGCAAAGAGTGTTCTGCTACCTCTTCCCATGATTCCAGTTTGAGCCCTTATAGTCAGGAGGTTCTTCCTTGTGTCTAAACTGAGCCCTTCCTGCTTGTAGAATCTATCCTGCAACCGGCTCCACCCTTAGCAGCTTTATCCATCATTTGGCTCTCAACTCTCTTGCTGAATGTCTAATGGAAGACCACAACTCTGTCTATATCCTCTGATCCCACAAAGTGAGCGCCACAAAGCAAATTCCACTAAATTTCTCCCAAGGTCCGTTTTAAAGCCCTCAGGAATTTTTCTCTTCTCCCCTGAGGTAATCCCACGGCTCTGGCCCTCTGAAGTTGTGATCTGTCTTACAAGAGGAGAGAAGACTTTGTCACTGGCCCAGAGGAGGAGTCTGTGATTAGAAAACCCTTTCACCCTCTGCTGCTTGCACCCAAGGCTGAAGACCCTGGGGAATGAGCCTGTTCATGTCTTCTTGGGATGAGAGACGACAACCACCAGCACTTGTTAAAACTAAACAGACAGACGTAGTGTCATGTGTTCCTTGGGTGGTATCTACTCTCCCTGACTGGAATTATTTCACAAAAGAGTCCCCACTTCACAAATTCTGACATAGGAACTGTGAGCGTGGAGGTGACTTCATCTATCTGCCTGGTTCTCTCTTCCTCCCCCAACCCATCTCTGCTCTTGTATCTGCCCATCTTTCTGACTTGCCGCTGGACCAAGGGGACGCCGGCCCATTCAGGTGAATGGCCGCTCACACACCCACCTTTGTTTGTTCCAACCTGTTGTGGCTCCTCCAGGCCTCTCCCCTATCCTGGCTTTGAGCTAGGGAATGGCAGAGGCCTTGAAGGATTGTGGGTGGAAATGGACAAGATGCTGGCAAGGGGTGTCCCAGAACAATTCCCAGAAACATGGGCGCATGGATGCGGGTGGTGCCTCACTCCTCTCCCCCTCCTTCCTCAGAGCTGAGACTATCAGCAGAGGCCAGAAATCTTGGAAAGGAAAGTGCTGGGTGTGTGTATGTAGCCAGGGGAAGAGAGTTACTTGTTTCTGTTTTCCTTAGGGGAGGGGAGGGGAGGGGAAGGGAGGGAAGGGAAGGGAAGGGAGGTATTTTGGCTTGGACAGGACTGATAAGCAGCTCTGGGGAGCATGAGACATTGACAGAGGTCAACGGCATAGGCAGGGGTAGGAGATGGGTAAGACAAGCAGTGAGATGCGTATTCCAGTGCCCAGGGAAGATGGACAGCTCCAGGACTCTAGTTCCCCACTGTATTTTTTTTTCCGCCATCTCATTTGTACAGTCTCATTTATAATTACCACCCGCCAAGGTCAACCCTTCCTTTCCCTCGATTCTTTGTCCTTAGGCCGCAGAAAGGAATTTTTCCCATGCTTGCCAAAAAGATGCACTGAACTCAATTTCCTCTACCATGAGGTCTCCCAAAGGTCTATTTCTGTTCCTATACATCAGCCCCGTGGTCAAAAGGTGCTCTTTGAGAATGAGGAAAACAGTTATTAACAAATACAGAAAGATTTCTTTGGTCAAGGCAGTTGCCTCGAAAGGAAAAGACTGGTGCAAATTCTAGGACAGAGGGCTAGGGATTTCCTTGCATTAACACGTAAATTACAGATATCATAGTACATTTTTAAAAACTCTTAATTCTGTCGGCTCTGGAGTTTTCAGGAAGGGTACAGAATACAGCCTACATCCCTGATCAGTTTCACCTTTAGCCTAGGCCTTTGAAGCATGGAAACTGGCTCCAAAGAAGAGTAATACCAAAATGCTTGTTCCCTCTTCCTATGCCTTCCTCTGCAGTGGGCAGTTGGCCCCATGACTGGTCAGATGTTCCTGACTCACAGGACACCAGACATCCTAGGCTGAGGTCATTCCATTCTTTCCCCTGTCTCAGTACCCCTTCCTCCACAAATAAGGGTCCGTCACACTCTTTCATCCCCAGATTGTTTTTTAGATTGGTACAAATAAAAAGTCTTGTTCCTCCTACCCTTTCCCTGATCTCATGTTTTCCCCACTGACGTGTGGGAAGTTCTCCCCGATTGCTTACTAGAGTTTCCTGCCATTATGAAGTTCAGGGAAGACAGGAGATAAACTTGGACATTTGCTTTAAAAAAGAAAAAAAAACTAGAAAGTCAGCAAATTGTGAGGAAAAAAAAAAAAAAAAAAAACTTGGGTAGGATTTGGGGTTGGGTAGAGGTGACCCTTAAAGATAAATTCTCCTGTCAAAGTGTTTTCTCACCTCACTCCAACACCAAGTTCTCAGCTTAGTGTAAACAGCAAGGTTTAAACACCCTTAAGAGGGATCTCTTTGGCCCTGGCATAGCTTAGTTCTTTCTCAGCTGCTTCGGTAGATGTTCTGTTCAAGATGAATACTTTCCCCAGGACTGCGTGTGTGTCTTGTTTCAATACCATAAAAGGATTTATTTACCTAAATATAGTCTAAGCAGAAAGCAGAAGAGGTCAGAACTCAGGGAGGACTTCCCAGTTAGCCCCTGGTGAGGGGACTCACAGTCACAGAGACAGGGACTGGAATGGCTTCTAACCCACGGAGGGGCAGTTTCAGTTTCTCCACATGCCTATGTGTTACTGAGCCCAAGAATTAGGGATAAAACAGAGAAGAGTTTGGATTCAATATGTGGGCTCACGTTCTGACCCAACGTGGACTGTTTTCATTTTAACTATAGACCCAAAGAGAGAGACATGCAGGGGTTCAGAACTCCACTCTCCCTTCTGATATAATTGGGGTGGGGGGCAGTGCTGGGTAGGAAGGAATGGAGAATGAGTTCCTTGCTTCTTTGTTTTTAAGTGGAGTGGGGGTGGGGAACAGAGAACATGTTAATTAAGAACACTGGCTTCAAGAGAAATAACTGCCACTTACAAATACTCTACCTGAGGTCACGTGAGACTGCCTCTGGATATGTGTGTTTCTGTGATTTGGAGCAGCTGGACTGCTGATATGACTTGCATATGTCTCTGTGAGAGACAGGAAAGGGGAGGCTAGCTGGGCTGGGGGGGCAGGAAGGAGGGAAGAATAAGCTGAACAGGGTGTTTCGGCAGCAACAGCAAAGAAAAAAGAATCCTACGGTCAGCTCGAGGCCAGGAGAGGACACTTAAGAGTTTTGGGGACATCTTGGGAGGGAGTTATCATGGTTATCAGAAAGGTATTTTCAAAGGAAAATCTTTAAATAAGATGCAACTTCTAATTCTAACTCGGGTCCTCTCACTGAAGGGCGACCTTTCTCTGCAGATAAGATGGGGGTAGAGACCGGCCGGACCGCTGAACAAAATGAGGATTGAGGGAAGGGGTAGACGAGAAGTGCATATAAGACCCCTTTGGAAAGACCAGGTCAGGACTATGAGAACACTGGGTAGTTATAGGCAAGGGCACCTACCTCCTTTTCAGAGATGTAAAGCTGGTCCCCTTTCAGCACCACGTAGCGGTTTTTCCAAATCTCCCTGAAAATCCCTTTCCCGCAGAATTTCCGGACCCAGCCGACCTTCTCAGGCGGTGCACACTGATGGTTTCCATCCTGAGGCCCCTGCCCCCGCGAGTCGGATGAGAATCGCACGGTTAGGTGGTCGCAGCTTTTTCCTCCCCGCGTTCCGTCCCCCGCGCCCTGCCGAGTCCCCGGTCCCCTCCCCGCGTCCGCCCCGCCGCAGCTGGAGTCGGGGAGCCCCGCGTTCGCTCCCCACTTCTTCAAAGCCTTTCACTCCAAGGAACTCGTGTCCCCACCGCTCCCCTCCCCCCTTCTTCCAAATAAACGACTGGAATCGCCCGTGCCGGGGGTGAGGGCCCGGCCGGAGCCGAGGGGTGGCCTTCGGGGCTCCGCCGGGCCCCCCGCCCCCTCCCCCAGCGCCCCTCCACGCCGCGCCGGGCTTTACGGCATTTTATTTCTCATTGTCTTCTCGCCGCTGCAGAGCTTGCTGCCAGCGGCCGCCCGCCGCCCGGGGAAGGCGAGGCCGGGGGTCGGGGCAGAAACTCAGCCAAGTTAACCCCCGGCCCAAGTAAACAAACAAAAGCCCCCGCGGTACCTCGTCGCGGGCCTGGCGCACCGAGGCCGAAGCTAAGGGGACCGGCGACCTGGCCGGGCCGGCCGGAAGGAGGGGGCTGGCACGGGGTGTCCCCGGCCCCCAAACCGGCCGCCCGCTGGTCCGGGGTCCTCGGGGCACAAAGTCAGCGGCGGCCACGGGGCGGGCGGACGTACTCACCCTCTTGGTGGAATTGTTCTTCTTCATCATTCCGGGCTGCCGGGCGGGCGCCGAGGGGCGGCCCCGCGTAGGGGGCCGAGGCCGCTGCGAGGGGGCTGCTGCCCACGGGGAGGGTGCGCAGAGGCCCCCGGCGCCGCCGCCGCTCCTCCCTCCCTCTCCGGGACTCTCCCCTTCTTTGTAGCTCCGGTTACACTAAAGGCCGGCCTCCCTCGCGCTCGCACACACACGCACGCCTGCTCCCCGCCCCTCGGCGCCCTCCATCCCGGCGCCCACGCGGCCCGGTCTCCCGAGCGCGCCCCCGCCGCCCGCCAGCCCGGCCCGGCCCGGCCGCTGCCCCGGCCCGGCGCGATGTGGGCGGCCCAGCCCGCGCCCCGCAGCTCCATCCACCCGCCCGCTGACGTTGCGAGTTCAGAATAAAGGGCGAATCGCCGAGCCGGAGAGAGTGCGCTCCCCCCACACCCTCCTTTGTTTCTGACTCACTGAGGGTGAAGAAGACAGACCTACACCCCGCCGGGGAACGGCGTCTGGGGCGGCGGGGGCACCCGGACTCGCACTGACGGCCGGAGCGAGAGGTGGAGCCTGAGAAGACCGCCCGGGTCGACCTGCCGACAGAGCCGGCAGGGGCCGATGGAGCGGGTGATGGAGAGACAGGCAGGTTCTTAAAAGACCGGCGATAACCTAGATCGAGATCTTCTCCCTCCCAAACCCCAAACAAAAACAAGAACGTGAGCTGGGAGGGCGTGTTACCCAGGACTGGCATCCGGAATTCACATGCCCTAGGTGGTGGAGTAGTGGTCTGGGCAGGTCAACTGTTGGGGAAAAGTTTTATGCTTCGGAGGGTACCGATGTGTAGGGGCTCTCCGCGGAAGAGAACTTAATACACATTTCTTCCAGTTTACAAATCATTAGGCCTCATTTGAGCCTCGGGAGAATAACCTTATGTATGAGGTAGATATTATGATCTCGGTTGCACAGAGAGAAAAGTGAGATACAGAATTTGCAGACACATTGCAAGTGCTGGAAGGATTAGAATTCTTGTCTCCAAAGCCCTGATTTGTTAGACCAAGTGGCTTTAAATATAAGCACCAGGTAAGGCTTAAACATCCTGCTATCTGGTGTCTCTCCCTAATGCACTGACATGTAAAAATACCACTCTGTCTACCACAATGCCCAGAGGAGGCCCTGCTGGAGTTTCCTGGAGGAAACTGCTGATCACTCCTAAGCCGAATCTGCGTTGGAGCCCACACACCAACATCTTGGTGACTTCCTTTTTCCCCTCAGTACACATTTAATGGGAAGAGGAGAGAGGAAACCTAGTTTGGGTACTGGTTTCATCACTGATCTGTGGCCTTTGGTCAAGTCACTGAATTTCTTTGGGCCTCAGTTCCTCTGTAGGAACTGCATGCCAGTTCCACCAACAGGAAAGATAGGGGAATACATGAGATGACCCATGAAAGTCCTTTCAAAATACAGTATTGCCCTCTAGGGCTAATTACTAAATAATAATGAGCTAACGAACACACTGCCTGGCATATGGCAGGCACACAGAAACTTCCAAATGAATAAAAATCCCTAGCACAGAGGAGCAGAGGAAAGGAAGAATCACTTTTTCAGAGATGTCTCAAGATAAAAAAAAAAAAAAAGTCGGCCAAATTGAGGAGTGAAGTGGCCTTGGTTTTTTCTGGTATCTGTCAAATGAAGGAGGGGTCTTCTCTTTTTTTTCCAGCTTCTTTCTCCCTAATCCAACAATATTCCTCTTAACCTCTTCTCATTCACCATACTAACTTATTCCTCTATTTTAGACTGAAATAGAAATGTATCCTTTCAAAATGCTCTCATATATAGTTTCTTTAAATCTTTAGTGCCACCTTGTGAGGTATAAATATTATTTCCACTTGGAAATGAGGAATAAATATTATTCCCACTTGGAAAATGAGGAAACAGGGCATGGCAAATCAACCGACTTGCCCAAGTTAACACAGCAAGTTACTGGCTAACTAGGTTAGAATCCAGGTTTTCTGACTCAACAAAGCTTAATTAGGCTTTGTACACATACACAGTCCCCTTCTCACCATCTCTGTTTTCCACCCTCCCTGGCAAATAGAAGGGGGAAAAGTGGAAGCAATGACAGATGTTATTTTGGGGGGCTCTCAAATCATTGTGGAAAGTTGACTGCAGCCATGAAATTAAAAGACGCTTGCTTCTTGGAAGGAAAGCTATGACAAAACCTAGGCAGCATATTAAAAAGCAGAGACATCACTTTGCCAACAAAGGTCTATATGGTCAAAACTATGGTTTTTCCAGTAGTCATGTACAGATGTGAGAATTGGACCATAAAGAAGGATGAGTGCTGAAGAATTGATGCTTTCAAATTGTGGTGCTGGAGAAGATTCTTGAGAGTCCCTTGGACGGCAAGGAGATCAAACCAGTCCAATCCTACGGGGAGTCAACCATGAATATTCATTGGAAGTACCGATGCTGAAGCTCCAATATTTTGGCCATCTGATGTGAAGAGCCAACTCATTGGAAAAGACCCTGATGCTGGGAAAAATTGAGGGCAAGAGGAAAAGGGGGGTGATAGAGTATAAGATGGTTAGATAGCATCACCAACTCAATGGACATGAATTTGGGCAAACCCCAGGAGACGGTGAAGGCTAGAGGAGCCTGGAGTGCTGCAGTCCATGAGGTTGTAAAGAGTCAGACAGAACTTACTGACTGAACAACAACAACTATTTAAAAGTGATTTAACATAGTGAAAAAAAAAAGTGATTTAAAAAAGAATGAGAAAACCCAAGTTATCTTCATAAGCGAGGAAGCAAAATGTCCCAATATAGTGGTGAGAAAACTACCCTGCTTGATGTTTTGAAAGCTTGCTGGCCCAGGGAGATAGGAGTGGTTTGAACTTTTAAATAGGTTCTTGTTTATGGGAAAAAAAAAATTAATTCATGACTTGCCTCATCTTCCTTTAGTCAGCAAATACTTGAGTACATCCTGCATGCAAGTTACTAGAGTCCCCGGTGCTGTCTCGGCAGGGAGCTGGAGCTTTGTGGAACATCAGGCAGGGGGACTGCTAAAATATCCAAACTCTCCAAAGTAATTTTCAGATTCCAGAACAGATGCTTGTGGGCTGGAGAACCTTCCCTGTCTATTTGCTCCTGAAGCTGTTACATAAATTTCTGGCTTTTCTTTCTTCATTAACCTGTATGGCTACACTCCCTCCTGTTATGATCCTGCCCTACCCTCCCTCGCTTCTCTCCTTTTGTCCTGTTACTCATCCCTCTTTCCATAAGCCCTGCTCCTCCCCTGGCCTGTTCTTTAGGCTTTACTTCTCTCCACCAGGCGAACCGCGTCGTGGCACCTGATTGGGATCTATGAATTGGGACTGTTTCCAAAGACCAATCTTTAAGTAAGAAATCTCAGAGTAGGAACTTATGGGTTCTTTTTCTCACTTTCATAGTGCAGTCTCCTCAGTGAGCTTGACACTACCACACACACAAACCACAAAAATAACTCAAATACCCCAATTTCCTTCTTTGGTGGAGATAAGATACTGGGGGTACTTATGGTGGGTTACCTTCCTGACTGCATTGCCATGGATAAGACCCAACTGCTCAGTAGCTTTGTTCTTAAATTGGCTACTTTATAAGTGAAAGTGAAAGTGAAGTCGCTCAGTCATGTCTGACTCTTTGTGACCCTGTGGTCTGTAGCCTACCAGGCTCCTCCGTCCATGGGATTCTCCAGGCAAGGACACTGGAGTGGGTTGCTATTTCCTTTTCCAGGGATCTTCCGGATCCAGGGATTGAACCCTGGTCTCCCGCATTGCAGGCAGACGCTTTACAGTCTGAGCCACCACGGAAGCCCACTTTATAAGTAGCTTCACTTAAAAGAGGAAGAAGGGAGCCATCAGAGGTAAGGATTGTGAATTGCTGCCTGCACATTCACAGGCCAGAAACTGTTAGCCAAACAGTTGTTTAGCTAAATACAAGCATCTTGGCTTTTGTAGAGTGAATGGGACATAGAGGTTTTGACTAGGGCATTTCAATCTCCTAGAAGGGAGGTCATTGAAAGCATATGAGACCTTAATTAAAATATTTTGAGAGATTTCCCTAGCAGTCCAGTGGTTAAGTCTCCAAGCTTCCAATGCAGGAAGCACAGGTTTGATTCCTGGTCTCAGAACCAAGATCCCACATGCCATGTGATGTGGCCAAAAGATTTTTTTTTTAAATGATGTTTTTAAAGGGAAAAAAAGAAAGGGCCAGTAATAATATTATCAGCTCTGTAAATCTTAAATAAAAATATGAATCTCTGATCCTTAATAAAGAAATGCCATCTTCTGGTATAAAACACCTTGAAAGTAAGGCTCATTTCTTAAGACTTTACAATTTTTCCCTTTTTTTGGCTGTACCTCGAGGCACGTGTGTGGGATCTTAGGTCTCTGACCAGGGCCCCCTGGAGTGGAAGCACAGAGGCTTAACCACTGACTGGACTGCCAGGGAAGTCCCTAGACTTTTTTTAAATTTTTATTAATTATTTTAATTGGAGGGTAATTACTTTACAATATTGTGGTGGTTTTTGCCATACATCGACATGAATCAGCCACAGGTGCACATGTGTCCCTAGACTTCTTAATATTGCTAGCTGATTAGGTACTATGGAAGCAGGTGAATAATGAAGAGAACAATATTAGAAAAGTGTTCTTATTCCAGAGTTATCTTGCTAAGAGAAAGGCAAGCACAGGTAATCCTGTTTGGAAAAAGGAGGCTTCTATTTGAAAAGACTATGTAACATTTAAAATGCTGCATTTAAAACTTGTCTCCCCTAGCCTTAAAAGTAAGGCTCCCTTACCTTTTTAAAAAAATTATTTAAAAAACAAGAGACCAGAACTTGTTAGATCTTAGCCCTTAGCTGTAATATGGACAAAAGCCTTAGGGGCTTCTCCCGAGGTCTGGTGAGACAGTGGGAGAGCTGAGAGGAGAGGAAAGGGGAGATGGGTCCAGTGACCCTTAAACTCTTCCCTCCTACTTCTCAAGCCGTGGATTCATGTAGTGGGAGGAGGACAGAAATTCATTTTGTATAGCGATTCTGTATCCCCAACTTGGAGACAGAATCCATATTACTTACGCTATTACTAGTCAAATTTCATTGGGTGGTTTACTATGTATCAGACATTGTTCTAAGTGCTTTATATGTGTTCTCTCATCTTATTTAGTCCTTACGATCCTATAAGGAGGAATTTAATTACTCTCTTTTTGTAATAATAGATGAGGAAACTGAGCCACCAAGAGACTTAATAACATTCCCAAAGTCACATAACTGTGACACAGATTTGAGCCTAGGCTATCTGATGCTACAGAAAGTTTATCAACATAAAAGGAAGGTTTAAAAATTTTATGCCAAGCACCAGGAATGTGGTAGGATTTGAGCACACCATAATTTCCTGGTATTAATGACATTATCACTTTCCACTGCTTTCAAGAGAAGTGAAATTGACACCAGAATATATTATTTGCCTTGACATACTTTACCTAGCCTTTGGGTATAGGCAATGCCTTCTCTCTGTTTGGTGTACAGCCAGCTCATGCCTCGTCTCTTAAATTCCCATAAATCGTTATTAACCCCAAAGAAACAAAAACAAATCACTGTATCTTTTCATAAAATGGATTTTTATTGTCTTCATACATGGTCTCTCAGTACCACAGAAAACTGCAATTTAGGGACAAACAATTTCTTGTAGAAATATGAATTTTCAGAAATGATTTGTGCAGAAATGTGATGTTAATGAAAAATAAAAGGGTTGACCCTTTTCAAGAGAAGAGAGAGTCTGTAGTATATGCATCTAATTTTTACTTTTTAAAACTCCTTTAAGCGCTAATCCTTTACTCAAGTAAGAGCCCAACAAAATTAGTGAGAAACTGAAGTGACTGTGCTATCAAATACAAGGAATACATTTTTTTGAACTGATACAAATGATTTAATTTTGTTAATACTATAAACATCTGTACATACATATTTGTGTTCTTACTACTCAGTTTGCCTAAATTAAGTATGAGTTCATGAGCTATTTAAAAAAAATTCATTTTTATTGAAGTACAGTTGCTTTACAATGTTGTGTTAGTTTCTGCGGTATAGCAGTCAATCAGCTGAATGTATATACACATCCTTCGTTTTTAGTTTCTTTCCCATTTAGGTCACCATAGAGAATGGAGGCGAGCTCCTCGTGCTGTAGCTGTATACAGTTAGGTCCTCATTAGTTATCTATTTTATACATAGTAGTGTATATAAGTCGATCCCAATCTCCTAACTAAGGAACACATTTATTTATTTGATAAAGAAACCATGAGAAAAGTGGACTGGAATTGGCTCAGACTTATTCTCAACTCATCACTGGGAGCCTTGGTGTCTGTGCCAACAGTTCAGGAATCAGCAGGCTACCTGGATGTGGGTTATAACAACAAGCACAAAACCCAAGGCTCTTCTCCAACACCCCTCTGGTCAGTGGAGAAAGCCTGCAGCGACGCAAGAGGGGAAGTTGCACCATTCGGCTCACCTCTCCATCACCATTTCATCTTCTGCTTGCTGACCTTGATGTAACCTGAGAGGTTTCCTTGCTTCGGCTGTGCAGTCCAGAAGCCAGAACTTCATCTAGGAAACTGACCAGTAGACTTGAGTTACTCAAAGGAGGGAAAAAAAAAGGCATCTCCAAAGCAGAGTATCTTGCTCATAATATCTACGTAGATGAAAGGATATCATGAGTAGAACACAAGAAGCACTGGTCTGATATTTGGGTGCAGAACAGAGGCATCAGTTGAGCAGGAAAACATCTGGACTAGGAGAGCGCCTTTGCACTTCCCCAGAGTTCTCACTGTGTTTTCAGTTTTAAACTTGCAGGATTTTTCAAGTTTGAAATTTCTAGTCTGGAATCCAGAATTTTTAAGGACAAGGCTATACAATCTCAGAACCATATTATATCAGTACCTCTTACTTATACTCTTAAAACTGCCTCAGAACTTTTAATGTGCCTCTAATCTATTCTTTATCCAATCTGCTATCCAAAGTGGCACCAATTTTCTAAATACAAGTTATCCTCTTCTGCTTTAAAAACTTTCTTTTGCTTATAGAATCATATACAGATTAAAATTCAAGGCTCTTTATAATGTGGCCTAATAATAACTAATAGTTGTATTTATTTTATTCTGAGAATTGGTTTAAGCTATGTATGCGTATACATATAAATGGAGTATATGTATTTATGCTATTATTCTCATTAAAAAAAATGAGAGATTAAGTGACTTGAGAAGGCACAACAGCTAGTAAGTGGCTTAGGTGGGATTCAAATCCAGCTCTTAAATCCACACAATACTGTCACTTGTCTGGTTCCATCTCCCACCAAACATGCAGCCTATGTGCCTTTCATGCCCAACCATTCATTGTTCCCTAAATGTGTCCTAAGCTTTCACACCTTTATGCTTTTGCTCTTACTATGCCCTAAGTCTTTTTTTTTTTCATTTATTTTTATCAGTTGGAGGCTAATTACTTTACAATATTGTAGTGGTTTTTGCCATACATTGACATGAATAAGCCATGGATTTACATGTGTTCCCCATCCTGATCCCCTCTCCCTGTCCTAAGTCTTAAATGACTGACTACCCCTTGTTTGCCTGATGAAATCCCTTGTATCATTAAGGCTGAGGATTAAAGGCCACCTTTTCTGTGAAGCCTTCCCAAACTCTCCTCCATGCTGAACTAGTCACCTCTATCACTCTGTCCTACAGCTGTTTTAGTATCATATTATTATTAATTAGGTACTCCATACATTATTGATGCCAGAATAGACTGTGAGTTACTTAGGGTGGGACTAAGATTTATTCATCTTAGATCTTCAGGGTTTAGCACAGAGGCTGACACTTAGTAGGGGCCCAATAAAGGTATACTGAATAAATGAAGTAATTAAAACAGCCACCCGTTGGCAAGAAAGCCTTCTCTGTAATACAGGAGTTTGGGAGGCAGTACTTAGAAGTATGCTGGACTCATTCTCAGGATACAGGTCTAGTAGCTGCAGAGGGTTGGTGAAATGACCAGGTAACTTATTACCACAGTTGTGCAGTTTTAGACCTGGAAGATTCTAGGCTTAGAGAATTTAAATTCCAAACTCCTTTGCAAAAGAAGAAAATGGTGAAATAGAGAGAAAGGAGTAGAAGCTAAATTCATCTATTCACTCACTGAACACCTCTGTTAATAATGGCACCTCTCTGTCTAGCCTGGCTCTTTGGCCAGTTGGCCAGGAGACACTTTGAGGTCAGAAAATAAGTGTCAGGAAATGAGGCAGCACTTTTTTTTTTTTTTTTTGAAAGATAACACAAGAAGTCTTTAATTAGTGACTTTTGGTAAGAATGAAACAAATATGCTGGGAAACCCTATGGAAACCTATGAGGTGATCTTTGTTTCACTTGAGACTATGCTACATGTGGAAAGGAAAGGAGTAACCTTCCTGAAATTGTCCTTAAAGATCCTGCTCTGTGGACCAACAAGACCCCACATTCTTGCCTGCAAAAAAGAAAACACTCTTTATATCTGCTAGGCCTAATTTTGTTCCCCAGGGCTATTGTGGCTTTTTAAAAAGTATCTATTTGGGGACTTTGATGAGTCACTTCAGAATGCTTTAAAAATTATGGGTGATGAACATATTGGTATCTGTACCCCAGATTTAGACTATGTTTAAAAACAACAAAACAGAATGGTTTTTCTTCCTGGATTTGTTTTAAATCATCTTACTTAAAAAGCAAACTCAAAAATCCCCTTCCTCTGTACTGTAATCCAATCAATTCAGCTCAGTTCAATTAAATGTAACAGTATTTACTGATCCATTATATGGTAGGCACTGAATGAGGTGTATATATGAGCACTTCTAAACTTATGACTTTAGAAGTTATGACTTCTAAACTTTAAGGGGCTCTTAGTCAGAGGGATACACAATCACAAAGCAACATAAGAGATGGTACAAACAGAGATGGTACCAGGAGCTAACCTAGTGGATTAGCTTGTCTTTGTCAGTGCTGTCATTTTGGGCTCTATGGAGAGAAGGAAGGTGGGCAGAAAAAAGCCGTGATTTTTAAAAGTCAACCTCAAAAAATCTTGCATCACACATTGAAAAACAAGTTTCTTTACTTTTAAGTCTTTGATAAGGGACTAGAGACTAACACAGAATTTTAAATCTTAATTACTAAAATAATTGAAAAGAAAAACTGTTCCTAAAAAACGCTATATAACAATATCTATCTATTCCTTTTTTTAAAAAAACTATACTCCACAGATGGAAATCACATGTGAGTTTCTTACAACAAAAACATTAAAGGAATTTAGAATCACATCTGAAGAGTGGTATAATGGAAAAAAATGAATGGAATTTCTGGGGAGCAAGAAAATAGAAAAGGACATTCTGAAAAATAATGAGAAAAAAGCCAAGATAGTTGCCTTAATGGAGTAATAAGCTTCTAATTATAGCCAAAAGTTAGCTGGACTATCGGAATGGGGGAGAGAAAAGGACAAGATGGAACTTTTAATATCTCAAAATACTGATTACAGTTGTCAGAGCTCCTACTGTGTTTCACACTTCTTTGTTTTTGCATATACTATTCCGTCTGTCTAGAAAGCTGTCCCATCCCTACTGCATTTTATCTAGTGGACCGATGCATCTTTTAAAACCCAACTTGCTCTCACAGTACAACGCCTCTAGGAATTTATTTGTTTTAGTATCTATTTTGCATGTAAGCCTTTGAGTTTTTTTGGGTACAAGTAATACATGAATATAGTCTTTTTGTAAAAGTGTTAAATAGTATACATAAAGCTTGTCTTCTTTGACTCTTATTTTCCCCATTAGTCTTTCCAGAGATAACAATTTGATCAACAAATATTTATTAAGTGCCTATGTGCCAGGCACCGTTTTAAAAGCTGTGAATATAGCAATAAGTGAACTGAAAAAATTCTCCTCTCATGGCATACATATTCCACTGGGGAAGGAAGGAAGATAAGCAGAATTGATAAGTAAAATGTAATAATAATAACAGTAAAAAACATCACTTACTACATGTGAAGTACAATTCTAATGAGATAGAAACCATCCTACTTCACAATGAAATTAAGGCACAGGAATCAAGTCTTATATCTTGAATGGGACCAAATTGGGATGCAAACCCAGATAATTTAACCATGATGCTACACTGCCTCTCTGTAATATGTTAGATGAAGAGAATGCTATGGAGAAAAACAAAGCAGGTTTGAAGGAGAGTTGGAGGTAATGATGGTGGTATGAGATTTTAAATCCAGTGGTCAAGGAAGACCTCACTGAGAAATTGACATTGGAGCCAAGACTTGAATAAGGCAATGGAAGACATACCTGGGGGCTTCCAAGGCCTGGTGTGTTCAGGGAACAGAAAGGAGGCTGGTGGAGCTGGAGTGAGGTGAATAAGGTATTGGGTAGTAAGAGATGAGATTAGAGAGATTAAGGGAAGGGGATGGAGGGGAGCATGAAGATGAGCTCATGTGAGGCCTGGTAATTAGGACTGTAAGCGTTGTGATTTGTACTTTGAGTAAGATGGGAAACATCTGGAGGGTTTGGTGCAGAGATGTGACATTATGTACTTTCACAGATTCGCTCTACTGCTATACTAAGAACAGACTACACAGGGGGTTAAAGGTAAGGCATCCTGATGGAAGTGAGGGTGGTACCAATCAGGCAGTTGTGATGAGAGGGTATCAGATTCTGGACATGCTTTGAAGGGAAGGATCACAAGATTTACTGATAAATCAGCATGTAGGTGAGAGAAACAGGGGAGCCAGGAAGACAAGGTTTTTGGCCTAAGCAACTAGGAGAATGGATAAGTCTGAGAATGGAAAAGTGATTTCGGGGAATGACAGACATGAAAGGCTAAAAGGAGTGGCGTAAGAGAAGAGGTAAGATTTAAAAGAAGATACAGGTTTAAGAGAATGTATAAGGAGAGGAATCAGAGGTCGTGAGTAAAAACAACTAGAAGATTGTATTTAAGAAGAAATATTGGAAACCTGGTTTGATTACTGTTAAATAGGGATGTTTATTAGACATGTAAGTGTCAAGTAGACAGTTGGATATATACATCTGGATTTTGGGAGAGAAGCTCAGATTAAAATTAGTGATTCTCAGGACTTCCCTGGTGGTTCAGTGGCTAGGACTCTGGGCTCCCAATGCAGGGGGCCCAGGTTCAATCCCTGGTCAGGGACCTAGATCCCACATGTGGCAGCTAAGGATCCCTCTTGCTGTAACTAAGACCCAGTGCAACCAAATAAATAAGTAAAAATATTTTTATTTTTTAAATAAAAATATTTTTAAAAATAGTGATTCTCAATGGAGAGGTGTGTGATTTTATGTTCAGGGTACATCTGGCAATGTCTGAAAACATTTTTGGTGGCCATAACTGTGGGAGTGCCGCTGGCCTCTGGTGTGTAGAGGCCAGGGATGTTGCTGAACATCCTATAATGTACAGGACTGTTCCCCCCCAACAAAGAATTATCTGTCCTCAAATACCAACGGTGCTGAGGTTGAAAAACTCAGACTAGAGATGTAAATCTGCGAGTCACTAGAGGATATAATTTAAAGCCATAAGACTAGCAAGGAGTG